CCGTCCACGCGTCCCAGAGCTCCTCCATCTTCCGCCCGCTCTCCGCCCCGGCCCTGTTCTCCGCGCTCGCGTCGTCGGCCCCCGCGCTCGCGGCCGCCCCGCCGCCGCTGGATGACCGCCTCGCGTTCGACGACGCCCCGCCGCGCGTGAGGCCCTGGCCCGCCCCGCTGCACGCCGACGACCCGCTCGACGAGTTCGACGTCGACACCAGGCCCGATCCGCACCCCGCAGACCTCGGCGACGACGACTCGTTCTCGCCCCACATCGTCTCTGGATACCACTTTCGCCGCCCGCTCGGACAGCACGATCACCCGTCGCAAACCTCGCAGCCCTCCGACCCCACCCCCGACCACCACGAAGAGGAACACGACCATCGCGTCGACGCCGTCTACGATGACCTGGATGATATTGGCGACTGGGTCGCAAACACCGCCCCGAACGCAGATCTCACCAAGAAGCTGGCCAAGGCCGTGGCCCGCACTACCGGGCCCGCCGCCGGTATCCACGCCGCTGATGCTGTGCTCAACGTCCATCGACGGAACGAGGATAGGCGAAAGGAGAACGTCGCGAGGGATAAGCTGGACAGGGCCACCGTCGAGCAGGTCCTCGACCCCCGCACCCGCATGATTTTATTCAGGCTGCTCAGCAGGAACAGGCTCCGCACTCTGGACGGCTGCGTGTCTACGGGCAAGGAGGCAAACGTCTACTATGCCACCGCCGCCGCTCACCCAGATTTACCCCCGCTCGCCGATGGCTCCTATCAGCCCAACCCGGACTTGCGCCCGCATGATATTTCACCGGATGCTGCCGTCGCAGTCAAGGTCTTTAAGACATCTATTTTGCAGTTTAAGGATAGGGAGAGGTATGTCGCGGGCGAGTTTCGATTTAGGAGAGGTGGCTATCAGAGGGGCTCGAATCGCAAAATGGTCCAGCAGTGGGCGGAGAAGGAGTATAGAAACCAAATGAGGCTCCAGGAGGCCGGCATTCCAGCCCCCATACCGCTCCTGCTTAAGCCCCCCGTGCTTATCATGTCATTCTTTGGCAAAGATGGCTGGCCGGCCCCGCGTCTCAAGGACGCCAACCTCTCCCCTTCCAAACTGAGAAAGGCCTACTTTAGGG